ATATACGTATCTATTTGTACTATATCATATATACACAGTTGCACCATTTATTTATAGCTGTGTCGCTTCATACTACGCCTTACCGCTCTTACAAAGTTTTTTTAGGTTTAGTGCTGCAGCTCACAATTGTCATGTGGGAATACGTATACAATGCAACATTACTAAAGTATATGAACTGATATCTGGGCTGAATCAAACGGGTTCGCATGCATGGACTAGAAACCTAAATGTATACGTCCGTTGTGCTAAATTTAACATGTGTACTGCTTGTCCATATCCCAGGAGTGTCGAGTACTTAAGAGCTTGCTATTTATAGAATATGTACTTCCGTTGGGCTAAATATAGAATGTGTTCTATTGGTCCATATCCCAGGAGGGTTATCAAATACTTAAAAGAGTCCTCTGTGCTAATTGTAGAATACGTACTTCCGTTGGGCTAAATATAGAATTTGTTCTATTGGTCCATATCCCACGAGTGCTATTAAATACTTAAAGAGGCCTTTGTGCTATTTATAGAATATGTACTTCTGCTAAATATAGAATGTGTTCTATTGGCCCATATCCCAGGAGGGTTATCAAATACTTAAAAAAGTCCTCTTTGCGAATAATAGAATATGTTTTTCCGTTGTGCTAAATTTAGAATGTGTTCTATTAGTCCATATCCCATAAGTGTTATTGAACACTAAAGAGCCCGTTGTGCTATTTATAGAATATACACTTCCGTTGTGTTAAATATAGTATGTGTCCTATTGGTCCATATCCCATAAGTGCTATTGAACACAAAAAAGCCCGTTGTGCTATTTATAGAATATATACTCCCGTTGTGCTAAATATAGAATGTGTTCTATTGGTCCATATCCCAGGAGTGTCCATGGTCGGCGACTGTCGATGACAGCGCAGAAGGTCATGGATGATTTGAATGCCACTGACCCGCAGGAGCACGCGGACGGACTCGAAATCTTCTCAGACGAGATAAGGGAACCAGCCACTTGGGATGATGTGAGTTGTGTGTGTGAGTAACTTAACTGGGCGTGTCATTGTAATGTAGGGTTGTTTGGGTTTACAGTGGGTAGGGTTGCTAGGTTTGACGCGGGTAGGGTACTTGGGGGTATCTGCGGCTCTAAGTCATGTGCACAATGTGGCAAATGGGTGTTAGGCGAGATTAGGGGATTAATCAATTAGGACGATGTGAGTTGTGTGTGTGATAGGCTGGGAGGGAGGTCATGGATATTTGATGCAGTGTTGGGTTTCCTGTGGGGATTATAGTAGGTAGGGTTTTACATCTGTGTCTCACGAGCACATCGATGCTGTGGTAAAGATAGTCTATTTCTATAGAGCGGGTCAAATGTCTTCAGCCGACAAACAAGGCGACCGGCCAATTGGGACTAGTGGGCGGATTGTATATGCGATTAGTTGAGAGGGGGTCATGTGTGCTATTCTTCTCTGTCTGGTGACTCAGCATATGTCGGATGCTGTTGTTGTTGCCCATCGAGGTTCTCTATTGTATTGGTTGTTGGTAGTACACCCACTTTATTACCCGTCACGTGTCATCTGGCACCACTTGCTCTGGTTGGTGTGACCTGTTACCCCTATGATGCGATCTGCGTACAGTCTCTGTGGAGAATATTGAAGCCATCACCTTTGGGTTTAGGGTTTAGGGTTCTAAGGTTAGGCTTTTGAGGGTTGTATGATCACACCGATTCTGTCTGCGTCTGTCAAGTGTCTTGCTGCCGAAGTCGTGCTTCTAGTACCTCTTGGCCCCACTACAGTCATGACCTGTTTCTGGTGGGGTGGGTGTTTGAATTCTGCAGTTTAAGCTTATCTCCATAATGTGGATAGATAAACATAGGTTTACTGGACGTATAAGGCCTCTCACCCGTGCAGGACATTCGCACATGTCACTATATATATATATATATATATATACAACTTGTATGTACGTAAACGAGTGTTGTTTTTAACGGTTGGTTATGCATAAGTGTGATAAGTGCGTAGGTGCCTTGTTTGATACACTTTGCGGTTAACGTTTACATTCGTTGGTGCCCTTATCCTGGCACATATCACATCTCCATGCCTGCCCCACGAGCTGTGTGTGGCTTTACACACAGTGGTGCAGTATATAGCGTCCACTCGGTAGTCGAAGACGCTTAGTTCCATCCGTGTTGCTGGGATTCAAACAAACAAACAAACCACTGTGACTGGGTGTTGTTCGTTGTGCTTTATCCACCCACAGTCTGTGTACACAAAGCAGCGCATGAGTTTATCGGGAAGCTGATCTATACGTTGGATTGTCAAAGTACTGTCGGTGCCCAATCAATTATTCAGATGGGATGCAAATAAAGCTAGCCCTCCTACAGGGGGTGAGGGGGAGGGTGATTTCTATATGTACTTCTATCCTAATTGTAAGGGCATACCAAGCCTACTCTATACACCATTGAAGTACTAAAATAGACCAACACAGGCACGTATCTCAAGCGTCTGCTATGCCGCTATCCCAATCACCCACTCGTCGCAGAATGCGAATATGGTCCATGCGCGCAGACGGACGTCGCTGCTGAGTGGCCTCGCGAACATTTCACTGAATATCAACAAGGCCATTGCCGCAGAGCCCAACAAAGAACACGCCCGAAAAATGTCAACGACGGATATGGTTCGTGTGCGCGAGTGTGAGCGTGAGCGTGAGCGTGAGCGTGAGCGTGAGCGTGAGCGTGAGTGTGAGCGTGTGTGTGTGCGTGTGCTTCTCTGCATTGGCATAGGCGTATGGGGAGAATTAACAGTACTCAATTACGTTTCCGACAAGCATTTGTAAGTATGTATAGATGTATACAGATCGGGTTGTATATTTACAGTGTGCCTGTATGCGTGCGTGTGCATACAGGCGTGTTAACTGTGTTGTGTAGGCAAGTGGCATGGTTCCTGATCTGCCGTGGATCCCCAAATACATACATCAATGGATGCTTCACTCTCAGTGCTACGGTCAGTTCCGACAAATATCTCAGTATTATTTATTTGCGTGATTTTCGAAGAGCTCTTATATATATATTATATATTATCTATGTATATATATATTATAAAATCATATACTATATTATATATTTCTTACATGTACATACATATGCACACACACACACACACACACACACACACACACACACACACACACACACACACACACACACACACACACACACACACACACACACACACACACACACA